TACGAGGTCAACCGACGCACAAGTCATCTCCTAACTTCTTCGGCGAGAGCACTAATATCGAGTCGGCATCATGGCAAATAGTGAACAGAGGACAAATGAATCGTGGATGAAGAGATTCTCAAAAAAAAAAAAAAGATCATGGACTCACATTTTTTCAAGGTGCTCTATTTTCTTCTTGAAAATGGTTGGAACCCTTTTTTTTTCTTTTCTGTTTTGCTTGTTTTCTGTTATTTTTCTTTTCTTTTCTTTTCAAGGGTCCCAACCTGCTCTTACCGGCCATGCCAGGAGCGGATGTCTCGAGCCTCGTGCGGGGGAAAGCCATGCAAGGGGGCTGGAGGTAGTAGGTGGAAATTGGGAACGGATTCCCGTCTCCCCTTACACACTTTCGCCCTATTCGCACGGGAGACGTTATTTTGAAGCACATTTTCGAGCACCTGTTAAACTCAAAACATGATACAAGAGTCCATGACAGGCAGAGAATCCACAACACCACACAATTCAAGGGTCCTAAGATCACTAATTCACTTAATCAACCAACTCAATATGAAGAAGAAATGAGACTTCTTAAATGCATCAACATCCTCCATAGTGCTACACTACCTCCCTAGGTTGCATATTACTATAAAGACTGTCAATTCAAAGCATACTGAGCAGGCAATTGCAAGGAAACACGTACTTGGAGCCCTCAAATTTAAAAATTTGGACAGTGGACTAGGCTCCAAGCACACAAACAGATCTAATGCAGTCAAAAGCTAAACACCCCCCCCCCCCCCACACACACACACTTAAGATCGACATTGCCCTCAATGGAGAAGAGGGAAGGAAAAGGGGAACGATGTTACCGGTATGCACGGACTGCAGGGGACTGGAAACGGACCAGTCGGAGTGAAGCGGACTGGATAGAGGACCAGTCAAGAAAAGCACAACTAAAAGGAAACCAAAGAGCTCAACACAATACGTCAAGTCTAATGGTCAGCCCAATAGTACAAAATCCAACATAAAAAGAAAGAAACCAAACCAACACAAGACAGTTTGCACACTGATAAAAACAAACACACTCAAAACATGGCACTAGGAACCGCCTCCTAGACCGGTGAAGTCGATCTGGTTCATGAGGTCGTCGTCTCCATCATCCGGCGGTGGTGGTGGTGGTGAATGATCCCACCGGGTGGTCCAGTGGTGCTCCTCCGGTGGGTGGCAGGCCTGGAGCAGGTGCTCAGAGTACTCCATCAGTCGGCGGCCTCGATCTCTCTCCCGCTCGATGAGAGCACCCATGACTCCCATATGGGTCTCTAAGCGGCCGAGGCGATCGTCAACAACCTGCAGCCTGGACTGGTACTCGGCCTGGTGGGCCGAATACTGCTGGTGGAACTGGACCTGATGCTCCATGAGCTGCTGGTTTTGAAGACCAAGCTGCTGGAACTGGAGCCCCATCTGCTGGAACTGCTCCGTGAAGAAATCCATCGACGCACCAGAAGGACCAGAGGAGGACTCACCTCGCTCCTGTCTCCGTCGTGGCCAAAGGTCCCCTGGCGGAGAGACTGAGGGCTCCGGCTCATCGGCATCCATGGCCCCGCCATCATCATCATCATCATCCTCATCATCCTCCGCGCCAGAATAGTCAGCGTCCTCCTCATCGTCATCGAGATCCTCATCCTCATCAGGCGGCATAGAAAGCCCATCCACCCAGGTGCAGGGGCCATCGCTGGTCAGGAGGAGTGCGTTATGGAGCACTTCCCGGCTGAGGGGGGTGGAGCCGCCCCGTGCAGAAGCATCATGGAGGCCCTGGAAGCTTATGTCGAAATGCTGCGCCAAACGAGTGATCAGCGGACCACAGTAGAGGTGAGTAGGTCTCCCGTGGCACCGGGAGAAGGTGGTGGCCACGAAAGAACCCAAGTGGAGCATGTGCTCCGGGTACCCCATCGAGTACATGGCATACAGCACCCGCTTCGGAATCTTATGCGAGCCGGTGACGTTGGGGACGACAGAGCGAGTGAGGAGCAGGTTCAGGATATGCCACTGCGGCTGGAGGGTGCGAACGTATGTCTGGCCAGGATCGAAGTCGTCATGCCCATATGCACGCCTGGCTATCCGGCGGTAGTACGAGTCCTGGCGCCAGTCGGTCGGGTGCGGGATCTCGACCTCGTGGCGATCGAACGGGTGGTACTCGATCCCCAAGGCATAGGCCAACCCGTCGATGGTCAGCTCCCGGGCGTGGCCGCCCAGCCGGAATGTCACAGCATATGAATCCCGGGGCGCCTTGCTGTCGTACTAGAACGTGGTGTAAAATTCCCACACCAGCTCCGTGTAGGTGGGCTCAGCGATAGTCAGCAGTGTGCGCCAATCGGGGTGGCTGATGGCGGCGCTGAGCTCCTGCATGCAGTGGAGCTGCTCGAACACTGCCCACTCCAGATGGTGGTGGCGCGCCAATTTCCCCCGAGTCACCGCGCGGAACTGGTCCGCGTACTCCGGGTGCAGGCGCAAGTCCTGCACAAATGGATGGTCGAGAGACATGTTCCTGCAAAAGAAACAAACCAAAGGTGGAGCCAAGAAAAACTCGTCAGGACCAACAGCGTGGGTTCATCACGTCCCCCACACCTAAGGACCACCTAGGCTAAGAGTTCTAAGCACAGCCGGCGGAATCGCAAACAATGCAGGAAGCAAGGCAGGAAACACATAACCAACCACAATCAGTAAACGGGCAGCACATACCCATTATATAGAACCATGCATACTCCAAGCATCCCTCACCCTATTCTAAATCATGCAAGCAATTATAGTTCTCGGTCCTACAATCTACAGTTCGATTCTCCAGGGAAGAGCAGTTAACAAGAAACACACCTGGAAACGCAAGGAGAACTGTAGCTAAGGAACAAGGAGGGGTGAGGGACGCGAGACAGAAGCCAAAAATGACCAGGGAGGCTTGCCGGAAAACCGCCGGAAAGTGGCCGGAAAACCGCCGGAAAGTGACCGGCGGCGGCGGCGATGGTGAAGGGCGGCGGCCGGCGGCGGCAGAGGGCGGCGGCCGGCGGCTCGCAGAAGAGAGAGGGGAGAGGATTGGAGAGGAAGAGAGGGGGAAATTTTGAAAAAATGAGGGTAGAGAGAGAGAAAATGGCCGGGGGTTTGCTATATATAGCAAAAATACCCGGTCGGGCCTTCAAAATACCCGGTCGGGTATTTTGATGACACGACCGGGTTTTTCAAAACGCAGCGTGTCTAGGTGCATGGGGATCCCCGGCCTTGAGCCAAAAATACCCGGCCGGGTATTTTTGGGTCAAGGTCGGGGGTCTGAAACGCAACGTTCTGACCTGAGGGAAATCCCCGGCCTTGAATCAAAAATACCCGGTCGGGTATTTTTGAGACCAGGTCGGGTTTTTCCCTTTTTTCACCCCGAGAAACAGAAGGGGGCCCGACCGTGAGCCAATAATACCCGACCAGGTATTTTGGTCCATGGCCGGGTATTTGCCCCCTTCCGGCCAAAAAACTCATTCGCCCAAATTTTCGACCTCTCCTGCACGACAGCACCAAATCGAGGCATAACAGACGACCGAACTTCACCACAGACATGCAACTGACTCAAGACGACACAAAAACTCAGAAAAAGGGAAAAAGAAATGCAAACCGTGGTGGGGTTGCCTCCCCACAAGCGCTTCTTTACCGTCTTTTAGCTGGACGCCAATTGCGGAACTAAGGGTCCACGAGCTCCACTGCTAACTCCGCATGTTCGACCTCGTCTCCCAGGTAGAGCTTGAGACGATGGCCATTCACTTTAAACGGCTCAGTTTGCGGGTTATCAATCTCAATCGTGCCATACGGGAACACCTGCGTGACCGTGTACGGTCCAGACCACCGGGAACGGAGTTTTCCAGGAAAGAGTTTCAGGCGAGAGTTATAAAGGAGAACTCGATCACCAACCTGGAACTCTTTCGGACCCCGCAACCGTGCATCGTGTAGGCGCTTCGTGCGCTCCTTGTACAGCTTGGTGTTCTCATAGGCGTGATAACGCCACTCTTCCAGCTCCAACATCTGCATTTTTTGCTCAACACCTGCAACACTAACATCCAAGTTTAGCAGCTTAAGGGCCCAGAAGGCCTTGTGCTCTAGATCCACGGGCAAATGGCATGCCTTTCCATAGACAAGGCGGTACGGTGAGATACCAATGGGCGTCTTGTAGGCAGTGCGATATGCCCACAGAGCATCATCGAGCTTGGTGGACCAATCCTTGCGGGATAGGTTCACCGTCTTCTCCAAGATCCGTTTGAGCTCCCGGTTCGTTAGCTCGGCCTGGCCACTGGTTTGAGGATGATAGGCCACGGACACCTTATGAGTGACACCATAGCGAGACAACAATTTATCGAACTGACCCTGGAAATTGGTGCTCGGTCGCTTATGATGGCTCTAAGTGTCCCGAACCGGGAGAATAGCTGCTTCAAAAAACCACAAACACGTCTAGCATCATTAGTGGGCAAAGCTTGCGCCTCGGCCCACCTAGAGACGTAGTCAACAGCAACAAGGATATATGTATTACCAAAGGATGGAGGGAAGGGGCCCATGAAGTCGATACCCCAGACATCAAAAATCTCACAAGTAATAAATACATTCTGGGGCATCTCATCACGGGCAGAGATGTTACCTGACCTCTGGCATCGGTCGCACCTGCGTGCGAAGGCGTCTGCGTCCTTGAAGAGCGTGGGCCAGTAGAAGCCCGACTGGAGCACCTTTCTCGCCGTGCGGTTTCCTCCGTGGTGACCGCCAGTAGGTCCTTCATGACAGTGAGATAGAATGCCCTCCATCTCACTCTCCATAACACATCGACGGATGATCCCGTCGGCTCCGATCCTGAAGATATGAGGGTCATCCCAGAAGTAGTACTTCAGGTCAGAGAAAAACTTCCTCTTGGCGTGAGTTGTCATCCCCTTGGGCAGCTGCTGGCCCACAAGATAATTTGCAAAATCAGAATACCAGGGGGTGACACTCTCCACCAGGCACATCATCATCAGTCACTCATCTGGAAAAGAGTCATTGATCTCCTCCTCGAGGTTGTCCGCAGGGGGTGCGTCCAACCGGGAGAGGTGATCGGCAGCAACATTCTCTGCTCCCTTCTTGTCCCGAATCTCAATATCAAACTCCTGCAGTAGTAAGATCCATCGTATGAGCCTAGGCTTGGCATCAGCCTTACTCATCAAGTATCGAATCGCGGAGTGATCAGTGTACATAGTCACATGGGACAAGACCAGATAAGGACGACATTTATCGAAGGCAAACACCACCGCCATCAGCTTTTTCTCCGTGGTGGTGTAGTTCTCCTGGGCATCATTCAAGGTCTTCGAGGCGTAGTAGATGGGTCGGAAATGCTGATCACGCCTCTGCCCCAACACAGCTCCAACAGCAAAGTCACTGGCATCGCACATAATCTCAAATGGTAAGGGCCAGTCAGGAACAACCATGATAGGAGCCTGTGTGAGCTTCTCCTTCAAGGTCGTGAAAGCCGCTGTGCATGCATCAGTGAACTGGAAGGGGGCATCCTCTCTAGAAGCTTAATCAGGGGCAGAGCAATCTTCGAGAAATCCTTGATGAACCGCCTATAGAACCCTGCATGACCAAGAAAACTCCGGATCCCCTTAACAGATGTAGGAGGAGGCAGCTTGCTGATAGTCTCGATCTTCGCTCTGTCCACCTCAATCCCCATCTTGGAGATCTTATGCCCAAGAACTATGCCTTCTCGAACCATGAAGTGACACTTCTCCCAACTCAGTGCCAGGTTCGTTTCTTCACACCGTTTAAGGACAAGTTCTAGGTTATGGAGACAGTGAGAGAATGAGTCTCCATAAACCGAGAAATCGTCCATAAACACCTCCATAATCTCGCCGACTAGACGGTCAAAGATAGCGAGCATGCATCGCTGAAAAGTCGCCGGGGCATTGCATAGCCCGAATGGGATCCTCCGGTATGCAAAGGTGCCGAAGGGGCAGGTGAAAGTGGTCTTCGCCTGGTCCTCCGGTGCAATCGGGATCTGGAAGTACCCGGACATCCCATCCAGGAAACAGTAGAACTCGTGCCCCGCCAGTCTCTCCAGCATCTGATCAATGAATGGTAGCGGGAAGTGGTCCTTCCGAGTGGCGTCGTTGAGACGCCGGTAATCAATGCAGACACGGTACCCAGTCACTGTGCGCATCGGGATCAGCTCATTCTTCTCGTTAGGCACCACAGTCATCCCACCCTTTTTGGGTACCACCTGGGTGGGACTGACCCACTCGCTGTCGGAAATGGCGAAGATGATCCCCGCGTCCAACAGCTTCACGATCTCTGCCCGAACCACAGCCTCCAGGTTCGGTGTCAGTCTCCTCTGCGGCTGTCTCACTGGCCGCATCTCATCCTCCATCAGTATCCGGTGGGAGCAGAAAGAAGGGCTGATCCCCCGGATGTCTGTGATCTTCCATGCGAGGGCTCGCTCGTACCGCTTCAGCAAGGTCACCAGTCTGGTCTTCTGCTCGGGTGTGAGGGTCGAGCTGATGATGACTGGCAGCTTATTCCCCTCCCGGAGAAATGCATACTCCAAATGAGGAGGGAGGGGCTTAAGCTCCAGTCTGGTGGTTCCTCCAAGGAAGTAGCGATGCGGGTGGAGGATGAGATCGGTTTAAACAGCCTGTCGCCCTCCAAGAAGGGGCCACTCTCCAACTCGGCCAACTGCTCCGCCAGCTGCGGCTCCTGCGATGCCTGCTCACCTAGCAAAATACAACGCTCAAGAACATCGTCAGTACCCGCACTCGTGATGGCGAGTGCGGTCTCATAATCAGCAAGCATATCACAGTAATCTATGTCATCATGCAAATGAGGGTGTTTCCCATTCTCAGACACAGAAAAAGTAGCATGTTCATCACCAGCACGCAGAATCAATTTACCACTATGCACATCAATAAGCGCCTTGGCGGTGGTGAGAAACGGTCTACCTAAAATCAAAGGTACATCCACATCCTCATTTATATCCAAAATAACAAAGTCAACAGGATATGTGAATGCACCCACATTAACAAGCAAGTCCTCAATGATACCCCTAGGATGCACGATAGAACGATCAGCTAACTGAATGCTCATCCTAGTAGTTCTAGGTTCACCTAGGCCTAGCTTCTTAAACAGATTATAAGGCATGACATTTATGCTAGCGCCTAGGTCCGCCAAGGACTTTCCTACATGCATGCTGCCAATAACAAGAGGGATAGTGAAACTCCCTAGGTCTTTTCGCTTCTCGGGCAGCTTGTTCTGCAGGATGGCAGAACACTCCTCGCTCAACATCACTGTCGAAAGATCCCCAAGTTTCTTCTTGTTGGTGAGGAGGTCCTTCATGAATTTGGCATACTTGGGCATCTTTGACAGTGCCTCCACGAACGGCATGCTGATGTTGACCTGCTTCAACATTGCCATGAACTTGGCAAACTCAGTCTCCAACCTGTCTTTATGAAGGCGAGTGGGGAAAGGAAGCTGGGGTACATGCTCCTTAACCACTAGCTATGGCTTGGGAGCAGGCGTTGTTGTGTCTTCCCCCACGTCTGCAGTATCAGCTGGAAGTGTTGAAGCAGGTAGTGGATCATCTCGACTAGGCTGGGCAGGAGCAGCTGATGTGGTCTTGCCACTCCTGGTAGTGATGGCATCAAGCTGCTGGAGCTGGTGAGGATCCCGAGGGTTCGGGACAGTGGTGGCAGGCAAAGTCCCCGGTGCCCTGGTGGTGTTCTGGCGGGCCAAGATGCCCACCTGGTTCTGCAGATCCTGCAAAATGGCACCCTGGTTCCTCTGACCTGCCTCCAGTGAGGCTACACTCTGGTCCAACCTCGTGATAGTCGCCTGAGTGCTCGTCATGAATGAAGCCAGAATATTTTCCAGCTTCGTCATCTGAGTATCTGGAGCTGGAGCTGCTGCTGGCTCGGCAAACTGGCGCTGGGGCTGCTGGAAGGGTTGCCCTTGCCTAGGCTGGTAGGGCTGCTGCTTTGGAACTGGCCCTTGTCGAGGCTGGTAGGGCTGCTGCTGTGGAACTGGCCCCTGCCGAGCCTGGTAGGGCTGCCTCTGCTGAAAGCCACCAGCTGGTGCTGGGAAACCAGGTGGCTTAGCGGTGTTGCTGCCCCAAGAGAAGTTGGGATGCTGGCGCCACCCCTCATTATATGTGTTGCTGTACGGGTCGAGGCGCCGAGCATTGGGGATGAAGTCCAACTGCTCTTGGGGAGTAGTAGACTCCCTCATAGCCTGGCAGTCTTCCACTAAGTGATTCGAGCTCTCACACCACTGACATTGAGCAACTGGAGGTGTAGCCAAACCTCTGCCCGGAATAAGACTGTTGGGCTGCTTCAATGTCTGCACTAGCTCAGCTACCTGCTGCTCGAGCCCGGATCTGGTCTCCATGGCGTGCACACCACGGTCCCTGGACTGTCTGCCTCTGCTGCTCTGCCCCCAGGAATGATCTCTGGCAGCCAATGTATTAATCATCTGGTTCAGCTCGGGTGGAGTCTTAGTGAGAACATCCCCTCCTGGGCATAGAGACTCAATCACCCTCTGGCTGTCTCGAGAGAGAGCACTGTAGAAATTCCCCACTGTGAATGCATCACTAAAGCCATGGTGGGGACACTGCCAGAAATATCCGATGTACCGCTCCCATGCATCACGAAGTGACTCATCTGGCTCCTGGCGGAAGTGAGTGATCTCCCGCTGAATCTCTGTAGTCTTCGATGCCGGATAGTACCTGTGCACGAATTTGTCAGCCAGATCGTCCCAAGAGGTGATGGACAATGGGGGCTGGGTCTCCAACCACCTCTTAGCATTCCCCGCCAGAGAATGGGGGAAGAGATGAAGGCGGATTGCATCATCCGAGACACCATTCAGCTTGAACCCGTTCGTCAGCTGCAGAAAACGGGAAAGATGTACCATGGCCTCCTCATCCTTCAAGCCATGGAACTGGATGGAAGATGTAATGAGCTGAATCAAGCATGGCTTGATCTCGAAGTTGTTTGCTGGGATAGGCGGGTAGAGGATGACCGGGCGGATGTCAGCAATCCGTGGAGTGTAGTAGTACTCCAAGGTGGGACCCGGCTGCGGTGGATGATGAACTCCATGATCCTGGGGTATGGGGTTGTTCCCCAGGACCTGATTCACCGGGGGAACCTGCTGCGGATTCCCCTGGTGCTGATTGTAGTCTCCGTCCATCCCGTACTCTTCTTCAGAATCGCTACTCAGGTGGCCGTCTATGCGCTCTTCCGTAGCCAGTCTAGCTCGCTGTTGTCTCCTGAGCTGGCGACAGGTGCGGTCAATCTCTGGATTCAACGGCAGTAAACCTCCTGACTGGCTACGGGTCATGCACTACCTGCACACACTCAAGCAACAAACCCGTGAAGGCACAAGTGGAACAAAGCAAACAAAGCAAAAAGAAAAGCTAAATTAACAGAAATCACTTTTCTTCAACAACCTAGCCGTCCCCGGCAACGGCGCCAAAAACTTGACTCGACTCTACTGTCACTCCAGGAATTGGCCAAGTGAAACCACTTCCTAAAGCGTAGTATAGCGGGTTTGGGTTTAAATGTCAACCCGGGTCCTAGATCTGATGACTACTCAGTGAATTCTTGTTATCTAGCAATGAAACTGGAATGCAAGTCTAAACTATCAAACTAACAAAGCAAGTAAACTATTGTATTCAGGTTAAAGAGGTCACCCGGATATGGTTCCCCCTAGACTGCAGTTAAGCCGGATTGTAATTACCAAGTTCAGTTTCTATGATAGTTATACTGTGGAAGATTCTTAAACAGCCTGAAGTCTCGACTAAAGGTCTTCAGACCCTCTCAATCTGACTCTCTAGCGGGCGACTAACCTCCACCGGAGTAGACAGATTGAGGCCCTAAGAACAAAACCTCCTCTACCGGAGTAAATCCGGTACAGAATAGTGAGTTGGTTCCTCGACTAAAGTCACCAACTCCCTACCTTCAATCAAGGATACTCTATTAACCTAGGCAGATATTCTCATTCTAGGTTAAAGCAGAAACAACAGGAATTTGATCAGGATTCAAGTCATTCAATCATTAAAACCTCAATCGAATATAATCAATCACAGAATCAGTACTTGGATTCATACAATCAAAGCCTAACATACAAATCTAGGGTTCTCCATACCCAGATGAATGGGAGAACTACTCCATGGAGAAGAAAGCAAAAGCAGAATCAGACACGGAATTCATACTACGAAGGATGGATTCCTACTTCTGGACGTTGATGGGCACTTCTCCAAGCTCAAGCTGGCCTCCAATGGTGTTGAAGATCAATCTAGGGCACTTGGGAACTCTTGCTCGTCACTTTCTCTCTCTAGGAATCGTTCTATCTCTCAAAAACTCGAATCCCTTGATTTTCAGCCCTCTTTTCCCTTAAAACAACTGCCTGTCGCGATACCCGGTCGAAATACCCGGTCGGGTATTTTGGGTCTCGACCGGGTATTATCAAAACGCACGTTTCAAGCAGGGAAAAATCCCCGGTCTGCTCCAATAATCCCCGGTCGGGGATTTAAGCTTCACGACCGGGACCCCTTCTGTTTCTCAGACGCCAAAAAGGGAAATCCCCGACCTCTTCAGAAAAATACCCGGCCGGGTATTTGTGGTCATGGCCGGGTATTTTCTTCCTCCAGCCCACTTCAATCCTCGTTTGCTCCTTTCGACCCGAATCTCGTTCCTTCGCCTCGATTCCAACGCCGGGTCCTGAAATATGATATAAACACACAACCTCGCGTGAAATCGGCTTAAAACCCGAGAATTAACATTTCAAACGGCTCAAGAATAGGGGTGAAAATACGTGTAATTATCGGTCTATCAAGTACACATTGAAATCCATTGGACAAAATCTTTTGGGAATCCCATTTCCTCTAGCACTGCCAACAGAGACTTCCAATCCACTGAATCGAAGGCCTTCAAAATGTCAACCTTCACTAAGCTACAATGAGTTATATTTTCCAGGTATACTTATGAACACGTTCGTGAGCAAGCATTATATTTTCTCCTATAACCCTCCCCATCACAAATTATGTTTAGTTTTCACTAATCACATATGACAGACATTCATTAAGTCTAGAAGAAATGATCTTAGCTATACATTTGTTTATAATGATCTTCTGGATTATTAGTTTTAGGTAATAGAGCCAGGAGTATGGAGTTTACCTCTTTGGGAAAGGTTGCCTTTGTAAAACAATTACTATATATAAAGTTAAATCAATTTTACTGTTGCCTAAAAATTTGACTAATCTCACACGACTGTCATTTTTTCATGATCCACCAACTCTATATTGTTATCAACGTGTGGTGGAGAAGTGATAAACTACTAGAGACTGTGAGCTTAATTAGCTAATTAGCCTGTGACTCCTTTTCTTTTCTTTTGTTGGCATTTATTAACATAAGTGAGAGGCCTTGGGTTATATTCTCCAACATATTCCACCTTAGAGTAACTTCACAACCAATTTAGTTTTCGTATGTGTGGGATTTAATTATGGTTGGTGGCTGTATGATGACGCGATTTATCGATTTATTTCATATTTTACATGTCAATAAAAAAAAACAAATTTCCACCTCTTCTCCTCATCATGTTCCTCATTGTCTTCGGTCGTCAAATTCGGGCATGCACAAGCACGTATAACCTTTTCCATACTCCGACTAATCGTAGTCGGAATCCTTGCAGTAAGCTTAAATGCTCAAATTTGCCTCACATGTCTTCTCGACCATTGTCTTTGATTTCTCAAATCCTGTTTGAGAAACTCCAACACTTTCAATTCCCTAAAATAAAATAAAAACTAACATGTGCCTTCGCCTTCATTGCATTAGTTTCTTCATTTTCGAAGTGGTATGAGAGATAGCAAAGATGAAAGCCTTCCTCGAATTCTGCCACTAGCAGAACCTACTATTTGAAGGAAATTAAGGTTCTGCTATCTTGAGCGCACATTTTCAATTAAGGATCGTCTACAGTGAGGTCTACGAGCTCTCTCTCAACTTATCGAAGTTCTTTGATTTTGTCACGTCCTTCAAAGGGTCGCCTGGTTATAAATGATTCGTTTGGAAAAATAATCTCTTTACGTATCAAATTTGTTTAACTATCATTATCTTGCCACACTACATTAAAGAGATTTCCAAAAGACCAGAGAAAAATTATTGCTAATTGTCCAAAGTGATAACAATAAATATTATGAGAAAGATATTCCTCCGTAATTGTGGGTCTTATAGCTAGATTGTTGGATTAGTAATAATCACGCACTTACTCAATTGCCACAGCAGAGCGTAGCGCATAGGATCTAGTATTGAATGGAAACAACTATTTATTCACTCACTATAAACCAAACAACATAGAAGAACCAGATAGAATAACCATCGAGTCCAGGGCTTTTATCACCCTTAAAGCCAAAGATTCTTTTCTATTTCATAAGTGGAGACCAGTTTACAAAGATCTCTGGTTTGATCTGGATGGAACTTCTTCTAGAGGAGACCCCTAAACTAATCGACATGCTTGTGAGTCACTTGAGGATAAGCTTTCCCTAGCTAGCCTTGATAGAAGGAGACTCATATAACACTCATTTCTTTAGTCTTGATAGCTCTTTCACCATTGTCATTGATTAATTATATGATAATGTTCTTTTGCTGAAAAATCTTAACTGATCTGTGGAAGTACGATGTGTTAGAATCATCTTCCCTTAGCCAAATATCTATGGATTTCTGATAAAGGAAAGATTCTTCTGCCTACTTTAGCTCCCTCAATTCGTTACTTTTTTTCCTTTTCAAGATCAAAAGAGAAGAGGGATGCGTAAGTGCCTTTGCTTGAGTATACCGGAGTTCTTGTTCCTTCAACTCAACTCTGACTCTTATATAAGAGTACTCCTCTTTATTTAACGTTTGAGTAATTTCTTCAACACCCTCAACTTCTTATACACCCTTTCTAATGGGGAATCTTCAACTTCAGCAACCCAAACCTCTTTCACCAAATCATTAAAAAAGGGCGGGAAATCCAAAATTTAAAGAATTTGAATGGTTTGGGGAGAGATTTACTACTACTAGAGCTATCAGTATCCAGAAAAAATGGGCAATGATCTGGCAATGAAGGCTCTAATAAATCAACCATACTATTAGAACAAACATCCAACTAAGATATGTTAACAAAGACTCAGACCAACCTTCTAGCAATAGGATTCTCAGATTGTTTATTGATCCATGTAAACCAAGAGCCAGAAGACTTACGTTCAACTATCTCAACTTGATTTTGCCACCTTTGAAGTCATCTATACTACCATAGTACTCAAGTGAATTTGAAGCATCACTAGGATCATAAATTGCATTAAAATCCCCTAAAATAACCTAGGGTAGATGATCCCCTTTCAACTTATCCAAATCATTGTAAAAATGCCTTCTACCAGACTCCTCCTTTGAAGCATAAATAAAAGAGATGAATAAAGTGGTACCTTAACCAACAAGAGCTTGTATGAATTGATCAGAACTGTCGAGAACTCTCATATTGACATCTTGTTTTCATATTAACCATACCTTCTCCAACCCTTCCAGAAGAATCTGATGAGCTAGAATTCATAGGCTTATGTTCAAGCTCTTTTGGAATCTCAGGTAAACCTGATGGTTCTTTGACAACTTCAACAAAATTTACATTTGGATTCCTAATTGATGAATGAGGAGAACTAAGCACTACTCCATTTTCACTAACCACTTCAACTCCAAACTCTAGGTCCATAACACCCAATGAGCTTGCTTCATTGATGATACTACCTTTGCTTGCAACAACTTGTTTACCAGCTTGAATATCATTCTGTACCAGCTCAAAGTTTATTTAGTCTCCTCACCAGTAGGTGCAACCTTCACTTAGGGTACCCACTTCATTCCTTTGTTTGCTAAACAATCACAGTCATGACCAAATATTTGACATTTAGAGTAGACAGTTGGTTTATTCATATATTCAACCTCAACCTCAAAGGAGGGGTCATCATCAGGATACAGATGTACTTAGGAGGGAAACCCACAGTCAGTAGCTAAATCCACACAAATCTTAGCAAAACCTAATTGAGCCCCTACCGTAGTCATTTGATCTATTTAAAGTGGAGGACCTAAAGTGCTAGCAATCCATTCGTGAACTTCGAAATGAGTGATATTCAAGAGGAATGCCCTAGTTTCTTACCCAGATAGGAAGCATCTCAACCAGTGCAGTAACGGCTAGATCCCAGGCGCCCATTTGAGAAAATTCACCGGGTTCTCCTGAAAGTGCCATGGCCTCGATTTCAACAATCATTTGCTTATCGACAAAGTCAGGAATTGAAAGACCATTGCAAGGGCCAAATTTTGACACCCAAACTACTCTGTCCCTCTTCCACATAGAAGTTGCCCACTGCCGAAGAATAGCAGGTTCAGGCAGAGGCCTGGTGAATGAAGCTATCAGACAATCTTTCCAACGCTCCTCTCCTCGTTTCTTCACTTCACGCGGAAGACGAAATCCATCTTCCTTCTTCTCTGGTGGACGATAGGTGACTGCCTTTCAATTGGGGCTAAACTGGGCGGCTGAGCCGCCATGGTGAGGACTGAGGAAAAACTTTCAAAGAGAAGAAAGAAAAAACTTTTTCTTCTAATTTTTCAGCAAAACACTCAACTGCCTTTTTCTAAAGTACTTCTCACATCTATTATAATTTTTCTAAAAAAACCTCCACAAAATTGTCCAACTCAAAGTTAACACAACACATCCAATTTTATGGTGTTAATGAACCAATTAATCAAATTAATTTTTTATTTGAGAGATATTTAAAACATAAAATTATATTCATCAATGTATATGGATAATATAATCCACCAAGGTCACATAAAAGAAAGGAAACATAATTCTTCAAGGCATGATTTAAGATTAGAGAATCCAATCAAACCATCATAACTGAGCCTGCGATAAGTATTGAGAACGTGAACCAGTATGAAAAAATTATATATTCCAATCATAAAACGATAAGGTCGAGAACTTTTAATATTTATCTATGATAGATTTATTCAAGAGTTAGATTGTATGATTTAAGTATTGAATATGTTGTTTATCTAAGAGCTTTACTTTTTGTGTTCGGCTGTTCGCTTGACAAATTTTCCTACACTAGAACACATTCTCATAAATCTTTTTTTTCTTTACATTTCATAATCTTATATTGATTAAAAAGAGATAGAACAAATTACAACCTGGTGTGCAACCAGGAAAGAAAATCAAAAGAACGACACACAGTCGGATACAGAGCAATGGCCTTTCTAGCCACCAAATGGGGTACCCGATTTCTGTTCCGACCTACAAATCGTACATTAAGACCATTCAAATTCCCCCAGCAAAGTACGAACTTCCACAAGACTGGCTAAAAAATGATTATCTTGTGCATCAATCAAATTTATTTTATCGATGACCACCTTCGCGTCTCCTTCAAACCGAACATGCGAGAGACCACAATCCAGACACTACTGGACGGCCTCACGTAGCACTAAAAGTTCAACTGTACGCGGTTCATCGATATCCTCAATATGAATTCCTCTAGCCAAGACAATCAAATCACTATAATCCTTGATAATTATTTCCCCTGTCGAGTGAGAGCCCTTCCTTGTTGCACCATCCACGTGCAAGTTGCCAAGACCAGGGTTGAAGCATTCACACTTGCAACCGGGTGTTGGGGTTAAACCCATCCATTCTTGGACTTGTTGATGATACTGCCGCATCAAAAATATAACACAAAATTATTTTATCCCATATTGTGCTTGCCACCGAGAAAAGATGATCCCAATCTACATTAGAGTTACATACAAACAAATCATAACTATTTTCTGAAGAATATCTAACAAAAACATGACAAGTTTAGAATATTCAAACAAATATAAATTTCAAAATAAATGAATTAATATGTCATAAAAGAAAAATGATGGAAAAATGCGTTAAAGATTAAATCGTAGTGACTGATTTGTACCATCACCAAAGTTTAGTAACCAATAACCATTACCGTAATTGACCCAATTTATAGCCGCGAAGGCGGAAGTTAGTGCGGTCTGCGGCTTGCTTAGGGCTTGACTGAAACTCAGCTGCCGAAAGGGAACCCTGTGGTAGCGGAAAAGGAGAAACCGGCGATGGGAAGCGAGTCGAAATCCAGTGGCAACACCGCCCCAAATGGCGGTGGAGGAGGAGGGTTCAAGTCGAGGTTAGAACATGCCATGTACAGCGGGGACAAGAAGCATGTCTTGGCTGGGATAGCCGTAATATCAGTCATCTTCGGCATCCCTTGGTACCTCATGAACAGAGGTTTGATTCAAATCTATGCGCTCTCTTCAGCTTATTCGTTTATTCGCCTCGAAGGTTCTAATTTGCTGCTGTTTATAGGATTTGATAGTAGAATGAACTGGAAATTTGAGATGATAATGAAGCCTGTGTCTTGATTGTAGTTAGTGGGTACTTGCCTTTTTCTCTACTTGGGAAGAATGTTGGAGTTGTTCGGTTGACAGCAAGTTTCCAGCTTTCCAGTTCAATTGGTGATAGGATCCTTAAGGTGAAAGAATAGTGTGCTGTTAATGTTTAAGAAAAATGGAATTCTGGGCTGGTTTTGGGTACTCGTTACTTTTTCGTAGGTGACGAACGCAGCAGATGTAAAAGCTTGAGTTGCTTTCGAGAGGTTCCAAGTTAGCTGAAGGGGTTGGTATATGAAGTTCTGGAATTCTGGTCCTGTCCTTTTTCTATAGTTTCACTAGTTCTGTGTGGATTGTAGTAAGGTAAGGAAGCAGTATTTCTTCGCGAGTTAATTGGGGGAAAGCATAGGTTTTGGTCGCTTGTTGTTGCTTATTTTTTAGGAATATTCACCATATGCTCACGAGAATGAATGTAATGCCCATATTTAGGCACGGGGTTCAGGATTCCCGCTAGATAAGTGGATGAAGGAAGTAATATGTTGCCCGAGAAAAGTTCATATCTTATCCGTTGATGGTAATTCACAATTAGTGTGGGGAAAGCTAAGTACTTATAATTTTGGTCAGTATAGATAAGGTAAAGGGCTTAATAATATGCCAATGTCATGATGATAGAAGCTAAAGAGGGACTATGAGGGATAGGGCATAAAAGTTAGTAAAGTAGAAAATATACTTCTTTGCTTTATAATTAAGTGGTGATTGAATCTTGATTACCTGGATATATGATGTTAAGTTTGATCTCCCAAGGTTGATGGAGTTTAGTTAGAAATATCAAGATTTTGCTAATGTAGATGTGCCAGTCATGGGAATCCCTTTTCTGAATATTTCTCACAATGCTCTGGTGCTGTCTTTTTATGTTGTGCTTCAATGTCCCGAGTAATGATTCTGCATCGTTTTTATTTTGCTTGAACTTAACAAGGTATGGCATCTTATTTGATCAGCTTCTGTATGAGTGAATTATGGGCCCTTTCAACATAAACTTTATAGGAACGGGTGGTGTGGCAGGCATGGAATCTATTTCTTTATGTCCCTATGGCAGTTTGGTAGTCATTCGGAACATAACTTGATAGCTTTCTGTATGCTTTATCTGCCAAGTTGATCTCGTGTTTTACCAAACGTATATATACCTGATTATCAGAATGGATTTTTTTAGTTTTATCAGAGCTATTGTACGGGGGACATCAGTAGTTCTATCAATCTGTTCCCTCAGCAATTTGGAGGAATGCATTTGTTATTCTGGCAGATAATAGCTGTCTTGAAGATTCCAACTTGGCCACTTGGGCTTCAGTTTTGGGAGGGCTGTTGTCTTTTGAAGAGTACTTGAGAGATTCCTAGTTTCTCATTAGCTGTACCCTAATTTCTTGGGGTCTCTGTTTCAAAGCGTCATCCTGTCTTCATGATGGGCACTTGAGGCATTTGGAGGGGGACACTTTTTCGGTACTTCATGCTGATTCTTGAACTAATCATAGGAATTTGGCTCCTTTGTGCATCTAGCTACCTTGAGATTTGAACCTGGGATGTGATTCAGAAGGAAATGTGTTCTTAATTTTCGAATTATTGATGGATAAATTAGTAATTCTTTCATGTTTCTTCATTCCAATTTGGTGTAAACTTCAATCAAATGATCCCATTTCTAGTTGTTTACAGGACTCAATTCTGAACTCTGAATGACCAATAATGTTATGGCAGCTGCATAAGTCTCTAGTGAAAACTAGTGTTTCTTTATTACTCTCTATCTACTCTCATAGTTGATTGACTATTTGATTTAGCGGTTTTGGTACATTCTTATCTTGGTTCTATTCTTTCCGTTCTATCGGCGAACGTGTCCTTGAAGGGAGTAGCTTGTAGTTTGTTGCCAATCTGCTACTCTTCTTCCGTCACCATTAGTAATTTAGGAATTTTGGCTGCTATTATCTGTGATATACCCATCATTGTAACTTTTTTGTGCAGGATCAAAGCATCAGTCGCATCAAGATTACATGGACAAGGCTGATAGGGCACGGAAGGCAAGACTTTCTTCTGGTTCTTCAGCTAGCTAATCTCAGTAAACCTCAAAACCCTTTTCATAGGTATTAAGACGTGTTGTTTGCATAGCACAATAGCTAAGTCATTTTTTGAGCAAAAGGAAAGACAACTATTAGTCGAGATTTCTTGTCTGTGGCTTCCTCAGTTATTTTGTTTTCAGCTGGCTGTTAGCAGGTCAGGGAATAAAGCATACATTATTTTTGTTTTAGTGCTAATCAAAATGAAGATTCATGTTTTGATGCTCTGGGGCACAGTGTAAATGGATGATTCTTATCTGTGTAACCATCAGCTGAGAAGTTCGTCCAAGTTCGAATAATATGATTGCAGTCTTGGCCATATCGTTTTACGACCCAACAGTTCTTGTCCCGCCGGAAGACCAGCAATCACTGTGCATGTCAAGCAATGTTCATCGTGTAAGCACCGGTCAATTGTTGATTGTGGATGGTTTTATGAGTATGTCTGATGCATTATGAAATCGACGGCACGTGATGATCTGGAGAAGATTTTGGCTAGAATGCTTGTTGGTTCATCTTGCTCTTCGAGCTGGGAGTAATGGAAATGATACGTTGTAGGAGGCATTCTAACTTTATCCTAGTGTAACTCTGAAAGCTAGCCTCGAAAATTTGAACTACTTTGACGCGCGACTTGCATTTAAACTTCGAAAATTAGATTCATTTGGCGAGATCCAAATCAAATTTGAAATGCTGATAGTGAGATTAGAATAAGAAAGGGTACTGGAAACTGAAGAGCCATCAAAATTCAAATGAGAAAGGATCGAAGGAAGCAAAATATAAGCATTGCAAAGAAAAAGCACAAATCTCTTACCGTTTAAACTTTAAACAAAAGGGAGGGCATACTGGTCATTTCGGAACCGGCCTTCTTCCCCGTCTCTGAATCGTTTAAACGTCGCCGTCAGCTGTTCTCACTTCCTCGGGGAAGTGGTTGTCGCGCGCTTAGCCGCAGAAAGGAGGAGAGCGGAGAAACCAGTTTAACCGAAAGAGACTGACACAGTCACAGATCCAGAGAGGGAGGGAGGGAGAGAGAGTGAGAGAGATTCAGGAAGCAAGAGAAGTTATGAAACCCTAGATTCTCACTGTGCTTGTGGTTTTTGAAAATGGTGGGAACGTCACTGGCTGGAGTGCAAGATCACTTGAAATTGGCAAGGGAGTACGCTCTTGAAGGTCTCTACGACACTGCGGTTATTTTCTTCGATGGCGCCATTGCTCAGATCAACAAGTAACTCTTCTTCTTCTTCTCCGTATCTCTGTCTTCATTTGGTAGTGTTTTCACTGCAATGCTGAATCTGTATCAGATTTGACAGCTTCCAAGGTTCATTTTTTTACTTCTCTTCTGGTTAATTAGTTGGTTTGATCGAGAATTGAAGCTGGATTGATACCTTTCGAGCTGGAATTTGTGTCTGGAGTCCGTACTTGTGTTCACATTGCTTTCAGTGGGAATGATAACTCGAATGTGATGATTAGACTCGCTCATTGAATTTGATTGGGAGCTTGTTATCAATGCCCACGTTTCAGGCACCTAAACACACTTGATGACCCATTAGTCCGCACGAAATGGATGAATGTCAAGAAGGCTGTTTCAGAGGAGGCAGACGTTGTGAAGCAGTTGGATGTGGAGAGAAGGTCATTTAAGGAAGCCCCTGCTGCACGCCGTGCTGCTTCCCCACCAATTAATACTAAATCATCATTTGTGTTCCAACCTTTGGATGAGTATCCAACCTCTTCTGGTGCTGGTGCTTCTATGGACGATCCTGATGTGTGGAGGCCACCAAGTCGAGACAATTCAACTAGGAGACCCGGAAGGCCTGGCCAAGCGGGGACGAGGAAATCACCTCAAGACGGAGCTTGGGCACGTGGTGGTTCAACAAGAACAGGGCCAGCTGGTCGCGGTGGAAAGACTACAGCTTCGAGCAAGGTGAATACAGGTGTACGCGCATCAACGGCTGGAAAGAAGAGCACTGCAGCACCTGGAAAGTCTGGCAAGGCAGATTCAGCTGTGAGTTCGATTATCACATGGGAAACCTTCATATATTTCCGTCTACATATGCCTTCTATTCTTTCTCGTATTTTCATTCCTGGATAAAGTAACAGGATACTTAGTTTTGATCCACTCATTACTTGTAGGTTTACGAGTGGTTTATTCAAGATGTTGAATGTTTGAGATGTTAGTTAAGTACAGTAGCAAGAACTTCCCACAGTACCATTTACGTTGTCATTTGGATGCTTAATCTCATATGAATTCCTTTTTGTCAATCTGGACCTATGACCATCTTGACCAAACATCTCTGTATGCACATTCTTTAGATTGAGGATGTTGAAGATGGAAAATCTAAGAAGGGCCAATACGAAGGGCCAGATGGCGACTTGGCTGCAATGCTCGAAAGGGATGTCTTAGAAACAACCCCTGGGGTGAGATGGGATGATGTTGCTGGACTTAGTGAAGCAAAAAGACTTCTGGAAGAAGCTGTGGTCCTTCCTTTATGGATGCCTGAATATTTCCAGGTATGTTTAAAATATTACGGCTAACTGGAGAATTTTTCATGAGTTTTGTTTCATTCTTGAAGTCTTATGAACTGCATTCTCTAAATCAACATCATTAAGCTTGCATAGAAGTTTCTTTAATAAAAGACCTAGGATCCTCCATGTTATTACTGCTATTCTAACTTTTCTTTGGACAGGGCATACGAAGACCATGGAAAGGTGTCCTTATGTTTGGACCTCCTGGTACTGGAAAGACTTTACTCGCCAAAGCTGTTGCTACTGAGTGTGGTACAACATTTTTTAATGTTTCATCTGCTACCTTGGCTTCTAAATGGCGTGGTGAGAGTGAGCGTATGGTTCGATGCTTGTTTGACCTTGCACGTGCATATGCACCAAGCACCATCTTTATTGATGAGATTGATTCTTTGTGCAATGCCAGAGGGTAAGAATTTTTCCCCAGTTTTGAAATCTCTTAAGTTAATCACATGGGTGTCACTATGTGAGTTTGACTGCCTTTTGGATCAGTGGCTCATAATTCATTACGTGAGGCTCTGTGTATGGCAAAACAGTAAACCTTGACGAGAGTAATGACTCTAGTTAACTGAATTAACTTCTATTGTTCAGTGCTTCAGGGGAGCATGAGTCGTCAAGAAGAGTAAAGTCTGAACTTCTCGTTCAAGTTGATGGCGTAAGCAATAGCGCCACAAATGAAGATGGAACCAAGAAACTAGTGATGGTCCTGGCAGCTACTAATTTTCCATGGGACATAGATGAAGCTTTGAGGTTTGGCATCTTTCCTTTTGTGTATAGTTTCTTTTCATGTCTGAGCTGTTTCTTGTTTCCTAATTTTGATATGTGCAATGTAGGAGGAGACTGGAAAAGAGAATTTATATTCCACTTCCAAACTTCGAAAGTCGCAAGGAGCTTATTAAGATAAATTTAAAAACTGTGGAGGTATGTCCTTTCAATTCATCTATTTTACTAATTGGTCTTGTTGGTTAGATTTTTTGCATCATAAGCTCAATCTGTTGCTAGCAAAGTTAGCTGAAGCCTTGAACCCTGAAATAAGTTAAACCCTGATGAGAGATAATCATGATCTATACTGCAAAGATAAGTTGCCCTCTTGCATCCTAGGGTAATTTTTGTGACATCAACAGAGTTCCAACCGGAGAATTTCCGTTTCCATTCTCAAAGAGAATCTAGTCCTAGTTTTATCAGACAGTAGACGTAGTTGGAACACAAGTAGATGTAATATTTTGAGTAGTGGTAGTCTGTCTGGCTTCTTGAATCTTAGGTCGTTACAAAGAACACACTTAAGCTCCCTAACAATTGATTCATGGGCTTTAAATAGGTTGCTTGCTCATTTTCCCCACCTATTCTGATGAATGCTAAGAAATAATAACAATTAGTTCCCATTGGCTGTTTCTGATTGTTGATGGAGCCTGCTAAATATTATCCTATGCAAGTTTCTGTTCATGGATGCTCTTATGTGTTGCAGTTCGCTACAATTCCCTCTTCCTTTGTTTCTTTTTCTTGGTCACTGTCACGTTGTAGGCTTTTGTTGCAGCAGTTACCACCAACTAACATTTCCATATCTTATTCTTAGGTGTCAGTGGATGTAGATATCGATGATGTGGCTCGGCGGACAGAGGGGTACAGTGGAGATGATCTTACAAATGTGTGCAGGGATGCATCTTTGAACGGGATGAGGCGCAAGATAGCAGGGAAGACACGAGACGAGATCAAGAACATGTCCAAGGACGAGATTTCCAATGATCCTGTAGCCATGTGTGATTTTGAGGAGGCAATTAAAAAGGTTCAACCTAGTGTTTCCCAAGCCGATATAGAAAGGCACGAGAAGTGGTTTGCTGAATTTGGATCGGCATAATGGAGGAGGTACAGTAACGAAGCTGGTTTAATTCCGATCGTATGTGTACCCTATCATCGTCCTCTCATTTGGTCTTCTGGATTTTGTGGGCTGCTCGTCCTCGTTTATTGTAATTCTATTTGTGTAATCTTTGTTCGTCCTTGCGCTATTTCTCACTGTGTGAACTCGCTTCCCTGCAAATGTAATTGAGTTGCTTATGGGAACACGGTCTCTCAGCCGTGTGAACTTAGCGACCTGATGGAGTGAAGTACGATTTCAAGGTGGTAAGACACTGGTTTTGTTTCATAATATGTTTTACACACAACTCTTTGTACTTTTAGGTAGAAGTTGTGGAGTATAGGCAAAATGCCACTTGGTTATCAAATCGCGGACTTTCGTGAAAAGTGATCAGATTTGGTCGAAATCTCATTGTTAAGACTAAGACCTATTGTTTTGGTCCTTTTGGATTGAGATTATGATTGATGTTAGAGTTTTATTTAGTATTTGGAATTATGAGATTGATATATATTGAAATGTCGATAGAATATCGAATTTTTTATTATTATTTAGGAATGACAAAATAATTCATTATCGTCAATACCCAACTGAATTTTAATTGATTTTTTTGGAAAAAATCAGCCACTAATATTTTTGGGTGAGTTTTCCCGAGCCCGACAAAGAGGGTAATGAGTTTGGTGCAATTTTGCTATTTTATGTATTTGCACCGAATCCACCTGGCTATGTCTTATAACTATGTTGTAAAATCATTTACTTTATACATGCTTATTGGAGGATGGTACGTGTGAGTTTTTCCCAAACTGCATATTGCGGCTTGGTTTCCGGCACAACCTCTGATATGGTTTTACAATCTTTGCACTATGGTATCAACAAAACAACATTTAATTACCTTAATATATGCCAAACCAACCCAATACAAGCTAACAAATAATTAATAGTGGAATTTTACAATACTTTAGTTTATTGTCTTTATGGTAAACTTGAAGTTGTACCTATACTCTCTTGTATGAATCCCTTTGTGGTACAAACTAAAGTTGTACATTAATGTTATAGTACAACTTAAAATTGTACAATAACATAAAAGTATGAATTCCCTTATGATACAACTTAAATTTGTACCTTTAACGTTATGATACAACTTCAAGTTTTACGACACTTATGCTTTAATAGAAGTGCTCATAACTAATTAGGCATGCAAATAATTACTAAGGCATGCAAAATCTAATTAAATCCCATATCAAATAATTAATAAGGCATGCAAAATTCATCAATTGTCATTACCAGGAACTAGGGCTGCAAATGAGCCGAGCTGAGCCGAGTTTTACCCCAGCTTGAGCTTGACTCGTTAACAAATGAGCTGAGCTCGAGCCCGAGCCATTTATTAACGAGTCGAGTCGAGTTCGAGCTAGGCTTGTTTACTAAATTCTTAGATCGTATTTAATACATTCATTTTGTATGTCATGTATGGTACATGTGATTGATGTAGCGATAAAAAAATAATCAAATGTTCATGATTAATTAATCTTATATTATAATTTTTAGGTGTCATATTGTTTAGTTAATAAATTTTAACTAATTCAAATCATGTTATTTCATAGTAGCGAAACAATTTTGTACATAATTTCTTTATAGAATTAAAAATAAGGCATATTTTCTTACATGTTCAACATGTTAAACTTCAAATGATGTGAGATATATAATTTAACAATCCTATGAATTATGAAAGTCCAAATTAGATCGATTAGTCCATAAGTCAGTGATCAAGTTGACCCTCAAACCACAATGTTGAGACATCTCATGAGCTCTAAATGAGCCAACTCACGAGTTAAGCTCAACAAGCCACCGAGTCGAGCTAGCTCGCGAGCTTCATGAGCTGAACATAGCTAGGCTCAAACTTGGCTCGTCAGTAAACGAATTGAGTTTCAAACGAGTTTTTCCCGATTCGAGCCTCGAGTTGCTCTCGAGTAGTTTGGTTCATTTGCAGCCCTACCAGGAAGTCATTCAATTCCATTCATCACATCACACTTTTGACTAATAATTATTGAAAAAGAGAAAAAAAATCAATTTACTATATAATACGAACAATGCGCTAAGCACTCGATATATAAATCTTACAGTATTCTTAAACAAACAAAGGAAGAGCAAGCAAAAAAAAAAAAAAAAAAATACCAATGGCGGTGTTCAAACGTTTATCTTCTTCATTTCCAGTTTCACTGCTGATTTCCTTCTGTGCCGTCATAGCCCTTTCCACCGCAAGTTTCAGGGTAGAGTTTGCACCGCCAGAAATCATGGCGCTGTGTGAAAAATCCATCAACCACACCTTTTGTCTCAACTTCCTGAACTCGACTGCCGGCATACCGGCGGCGGATCTCCTCGGCGCCGGCGAAATCACGCTCAACGCCAGCCTTCACGAAGCCCAAGACACCCGAAACTACGTGAAAACACTGGTGGGGCAAACAACAATCGATCCGAAGCAGAAGCAGAGCTACGAGACGTGCCTGGACAACTACGACGTCGCCATTGGAGCCATTTCAGAAGCGAAAGCTTCGTTGCTCAGCGGAGATTACGAGACGGCGAATATCGAGATTTCGGCGGCGCAGACTGATTCGGATACGTGTAATGACGAGGTGAAAGGGGCGGCGGCGGCGGCGGCCGAACTGGTTGAGAGGAATGACTACTTGTTTAATGTTCTCGATGTTGCTCTGGTGATAACTAATAAGTTGGCCGGTTGATGGGATTAATTGACCATTGTTGGTGCATGTTGAAGTGGAGGAATATCATGTTATTTTCATTCAAGAAGTTTTCCCACGTTTGATGAATTATCCGATAAGAAGTATTACGATGCTTTCCATGCATATAGTTGTTGAGTGAATTTTGTCAATGAAGGAAAGAATCAGAGAAGCAATCAAGCCCATATAAGGCAACTCTCAAGGAAGGAAAGAGGGAGCAGAATTACAGGCAATCAAATCATCATTCAGCAACAGCTAGCTCGAGAAAAGGAGGATTATAAAAGATCAAAGAACTGAAGCAAGCTCACGGTTCTCGGGGGGAAAAATCAAACAGTGTGCTGTGTGTATTCAGTGTGTTTGGATTGAGAGCCTAAGTAAGCTAATAAGGGGGAATAGCGAGGGTCTGATGGTGTATGATCAGGGAGATCATTCATCTTAGATAGCTAGACTGAAAAGCAGGGAGCAGATCGGTTCTAGCTTAGTTAGGATAAACAAGAATCAGGAAATCGTTCTAGTGGTTACGTAGGGATTCTCAAGAGGAGATATCCCTACCGTGGATTAGTCGATATTGGGATACTTATTCTCCCAATATCGGATACCACGTAAAAGTGTGTGTTGTTCATTTGCTGTTTGCTTTGATTGTTGGTTGCTCTGTTTCAATTCAATTCGTTCAGGTTCAGAGAAGCACTTGAAGTAGAGGTTTGATCTTGGTTAAAGAAGAGAAGTCATTAGCAGGCTTTGGGAGTTGTCCAGGGCCAAGCCCAGTTCTCTCGAAAACAAACGTTTGGGCTCCAAGCCCACAGTCATAACAGATAACTAAACTTTTGATCCAATTCATTTCTGGCAATTTCGTATTACAATTTCGTTGCGAGAAGCTGAGAATCAAACATCAAAATTTTATCACTTCACTTGGCTGGCTATTGTGTCGATTAGGGTTTTGTAGGATCTATTCTTCATCATCTGAATTAACAAGAAGAAGGCGGCTGGTCTCGCGCTCGACCCACCTATACGTGGTATCAGAGCCCGGCTCCAACGTCAAAGGCGCAACCGTCTTCGGAGAAGGTGAGCTCGGAATCGGCTGCAGGTATCTTTATGGCAGATGGGTTCTCACAAACTCGTCCTCCGAGGTTTGAAGGTGTTCACTATGGCTACTAGAGGAATCGAATGGAGCTTTTTATCGGATCAACTGATCCAGATTTATGGAACATCGTTCTGGATGGCCCGCTGGAAGTGATGGAAGCTCGCGGAAAATGGACTGAAGTTGACAAAAGGAACTTTCAGCTTAATTCGAAGGCAACAAATCTCATGTACTGCGCACTGGGACCAGAGGAGTATCACTGGGTGACTGGCTGCAAGTCTGCAAAGGAAATTTGGGATAAATTGCAGATTGCACATGAAGGCATGTCTCATGTCAAAATTTCAAGGATAAACAGTCTCAAGCAAGAGTTTGAGTCATTCATTATGAAGCCTGAAGAATCAATCAAGGAAATGAATGATCGATTCACCACGATTGTAAACAGCCTGAGAAATCTTGAAGTGGAATATACCAGTGCCGATTTGGTTCGCAAGGTTCTCTGGGAACTGCCCAAGGGATGGACACCTAAGGTCACAGCAATTGAGGAATCCAAAGACCTCACCAAGCTCAGTCTGGATGAACTGATTGGATCCTTGATTACACATGAAGACAAGTTAAGAAGAGAAGAACTGGAGGAGCCAAGAAAAGAGAAAAAGGGGATAGATTTTAAAGCCACCACTCAAGACAACGAATTAGACTGTTTGGATGAAATGGAAGATGATGAGCTTGCTATGCTAAGCAAGCATGTGGCAAAGCTTCTCAAACTTCGAAGAGAAAAGAAACGAGGGGGTTTCTCCAGCAGATCGAGGGATGGTGAGTTTGACAGAGAAAGCAACAAAGGAGGAAGACAGGGACTCAGAAATCGAAGGGAAGGAGTAAGCAATGAGAAGCCTCAATCTCAAGCTGGTTGCTTCAAATGCGGAAAGACAGGGCATATTAAAGCTGAGTGCCCACTAGGCAAGAAAGAAAGAGCTTATGCTGCGACCTGGAGTTGCAGTGAGGAAGATGAAGACGATGATGAAGCCATTCCCAAGTTCAGTGCATACATGGCCATTAACGAGTATGAAGGAGAAAAATCTCAGGTAACTGCCTACTACTCTGACTCTGGTAGTAATGATGATGAACTGCTAGATGAAACTATCAGAAATATTCAAAACGAGTTTGTAACTGTGAGAAACAAGTATATCTTAATCGAAGCTAGTCATGAAAACCTATAGAATGAATTTGAGAGAATGAAAAATGAGAAGACTAGAGCAGAACACAAGGTTTAGAGTCTAATGAAAGAAAACAGTAGGCTGAAAGAGAAAATTGATGTCACTAAGGCAGAACTATCTCAGATAAAATGTCGAACCAAAACAAAGTCAGCATCTGTGAGAAGACCAGATGTTCATAGGTACCACGAATGCTTTTACTGCCATCAAACTGGTCATTACATTGCAAATTGTAGAAAACGTATCACTAAAGAAAACAAAACAAAACAATATGGGGACAAAAGTTCAGAACATACACATGACGATTACTCAAACTTAATTCAGCCCAGAAGAGTATCTAAGCTAGTCTGGATACCTAAACTAAATAAATGTATTTATTCTTGCAGACCTGTCTCCAAGTGGGCTTGGAGGGCAGCGTTTGGATACTCGATAGTGGTTGCTCACACCACTTGACTGGTAATAAAAATATCTTCTCAAAACTAACTTTGGAAAACAAAGGAAAGGTCTTTTTCGGGGATAACTTCAGCACATAAATACTAGGAAAGGGTACAGTAGGTACTGTTCCATCTATTAGTAATGTGCTACTAGTAAAAGACTTGAAACACAACCTTTTGTCTATTGGACAGCTCTGTGGAAATGAAAACTGGGCAGTCTTTAAACAAGACAAATGTTTTGTAGAAAACATAGTAAGTCACAAGCTTATACTAACAGGAAAACGAAAGGGAAAACTTTTCTCAATAGATCTTGAAGACAAAACTACGTTCAATGAGACATGTCTTGTCTCAATTGATAAAAATGATCAATTTGAATGGCATAGGAGACTGGGACATGTGAGTGTTGGAATTCTGTCAAAAGTAGTAAATTTGGGAATTGTTATTGGGATTCCAAAACTTCTAAGCAAAAGGGAATTCTTTTGTGATGCCTGTGCAAAAGGAAAACACTCCAGAACTTCTTTTAAAACCAAACCAGTCATTTCTACATCTAGACCCTTAGAATGACTTCATCTAGATTTGTTTGGTCCTAGTAATGTCAAGAGTCTAGGAGGTAAGCACTATGCCTTTGTGATTGTAGATGACTACTCAAGGTTTACTTGGGTACTGATTCTCTCTACAAAGGACGAGGCTTATCAAAATTTTAAAAAACTTTGTTAAATGTGTAGAAAATGAAAAACTATAAAAAATAGGAAGCATAAGAAGTGACCATGGAGGTGAGTTTGTTTCTGAAAAATTCGAAAGGTTTTGCAATAAAAGGGGAATAACTCATAATATTTCTGCACCTAGAACACCACATCAGAATGGTGTGGTAGAGAGAAAGAACAGAACTCTGATTGATATAGCTCGAACAATGCTAAATGATTATGGAACAGCTAAGCAATTCTGGGCAGAGGCAATCAATACAACTTGTTATGTCACCAACAGAGCTCTTATTAGATCTAAGCTCAATAAGACACCCTATGAGCTCTGGAAAGATAGGAAACCCAACCTAAGTTACTTTCACCCCTTCGGGTGCAAGTGCTTCACTTTAAATACCAAAGATCACTTGGGCAAATTTGATTCTAAATCAGATGAATCAATTTTTCTTGGGTATGCTGTAAATAGCAGGGCCTATCGCATCTTTAATAAACGGACCCTCAAAGTTGAGGATTCCATCAACGTGTTATTTGATGAGACTTGTAGTAAGTGTGCAGGCAGTATCGATGAGGATGATGACTTGGGATTGGGAACAACTCATACGGGCCATGACACTACAACTGCTCAGGAACCAGAAACCTTGCATCCAGATGAGAAAAACAGCGCATAAGAGAAGGATCAACATCCTCAGGCACCACCCCACATTGTTCGACGACATCCTCCATCTCTCATCATTGGGGGATCTTAGTCGAGGTATGACTACTCGCTCTAGATCTTATGATGAGCATACTGCATTTGTAGCTCAATTTGAACCAAAATGTGTTGATGATGCCATTAAAGATGAGTACTGGTCAGCAGCTATGCATGATGAAATGAACCAGTTTGCCAGAACTCATGTTTGGGATTTAGTCCCTAGACCTAAGGATATAATAATCATTGGAACTAAATGGATTTTTCGGAATAAAATTGATGAACTTGGAACTATAATCAGGAATAAAGCTAGGTTAGTAGCTCAAGGCTACTGTCAGGAAGAGGGGATTGACTTTGATGAAACTTTTGCCCCTGTAGCTAGATTGGAAGCTATTCTACTATTATGTGCTTATGCTGCCTCTAGAGGCTTTAAACTTTTTCAAATGGACGTCAAAAGTGCGTTCTTAAATGGGGAACTAAAAGAAGAGATTTATGTTTCTCAACCTCCTGGGTTTGAGGATTCAGAACATCCAGACTATTTGTTTAAACTTAACAAAGCTTTGTACGGACTTTATTGAAAAGGGGGTTCCATCGTGGGCAGGTGGACAAAACTCTGTTTATTAAGAATGAAAATGAACATACCCTACTGGTTCAAGTCTATGTTGACGACATAATTTTTGGCTCCACAAGTCAAAAATTGTGCACTGAATTTGAAAGTGATATGAAAAATGCGTTTGAAATGAGTCTTATGGGGGAATTGAACTATTTCCTTGGCCTGCAAGTAAAACAAACAAGTCAGGGGGTCTTCAGTCAATCAAAATACTTACAAAATATGCTGAAACGTTTTTACCTTGGAAACTTAAAAGCAACTCGCACACCCATGGGATCTACAGTTAAGTTAACTCAGGATGAGTCTGGAAAACCAGTAGATTGCAAAAATTTCCGTGGTATGATCGTATCCCTTCTGTATCTTACTGCAAGTCGTCCAGACATCAAGTATAATGTGTGTCTCTATGCTAGGTTTCAGAGTAATCCCATGGAAAGTCATCTGTCAGCCATAAAACGTATCTTTCGTTATCTGGCTGGAACCCCCACTCTAGGTCTTTGGTACTCTAGTTCCTCAAGCCTAAACTTAGTCCGTTATAGTGATTCTGACTACGCTGGATGTGTAGTGGATAGAAAAAGCACTTCTGGTGCATGTCACTTTCTAGGCACTTCACTCGTATCATGGTTTAGTAAAAAACAGAGCTCAGTAGCCTTATCCACAGCTGAAGCTGAGTATATTGATGCTGGCTTCTGTTGCACGCAAGTGTTCTGGATGAAATACAAGCTCGAGGATTATGGTCTTCAACTGGGCTCTCTACCCAACATGTGTGATAACACGAGCGCTATTAACATGACCAAAAACCCTATACAACACTCTCGTACCAAACACATAGAGGTTCGTTACCATTTCATACGAGAATTAGTTCAGGAGGGTAAAATTCACTTAGAGTTTGTTGGGACAGATTCACAGTGGGCTGACATATTTACCAAACCTTTGCCGGTTGATAAATTCCCACCCATTCGACGAGAACTTGGACTGTTCTCTTTAGAAGAAATAGAGGAAATTATCTAGGGTATCCTGCACTCTTAGTTTCCTTATTCCTCTAAGATTCTTACCTCGTGATCATCACTCTCTCTCCTTACTCAGTTTCGATAAATCAGTCGTCATTCACTGAAATCAGTGAGCAATTGATTCTCTTACCTCCTCAGTTCTAGCCATCTATGCTATAATTAGGGATCTCCTCTATTCGTTCTTCACACTTCACCCTTCCTGTACTCACTTTCCCCTCACCAAATGGCTTTCAATAACGCGCAACTTCGACCTGTGGTTGTGTTAAATAATCAAGGGTTTCCGAATGCCATCATCTATTCCAGATACCTTCACAGCTATCGCGATCGCCCTATCTATGCATCCTTCACCATATCACCTTCAGCCTTTTCCAAATATGATATGGACATCCCTTCACTCCTCGCTGGACTCGGATGGACTTCGTTGACCGAAGATCAACGATTTCTGCACTGTCCTGAGTAGGGGTGTTCAAACGGTGTGGTTACCGTGTAACCATATTAACCAGTAGTATTTGGCTAATTTGGTTTGGTTAATTTCGATAATTGGTTTGGTTTGGTTAAAAAATTTAGCTTGTTTGGTTCAGGTGGTTTGGTTTGGTTTCAGGCACTCCTAACCAATCAAACCAAATTAACCAGTTAAGTAATTAGCCATATATCTAATATATATTATATACACATACTTAATACTTTGCATAACCACTCAAGAGTCAAATGTAAGATAATTGTATTTGTTACATGTATTTACGTTAAGGGTTAACTATAATTATGTGGATTGTTATGTGTTGTTCATTATATAAATTGTGAATTGATGCACTAACTGAAAATTTTTCACACTTAATGATAATGTGGTGTTATATTGGTTTATTTTGGTTAACCAATTAACCAAACCGAATAAACTTTAGTTTGGTTAATTTGGTTGTTGTATTAGTTTGGATGGTTTGGTTATGATATTGTATTCCATGGTTAATAGAATTTAGGCTTATTTGGTTTGGTTATTACCATAGTAACCTTTTGAACACCCCTAGTCCTGAGCCGGTCAGGCTATTCTATGTCAATATTCAGTGCGATAGGGGTGCTGAACCTCGTTCTTTCACCACCATGGTCTACGACCATGAGATCACGGTCACTCTTGACCTGCTGGCCTCAGTCCTTTCACTACCTCATTCTGGACTTTAGGCTAGTTTTGCTAGTGACTTTGACAAGCATGGGTTTGACTTTGATACTGCCCTTACTCTTCTGACTGAAGACATTGGGAATTTTTTCCCTAACCAGTTGTCTGTTGGGCGTCTTCCTGACGATTTGAAAGTTCTCCACTTTTTCATCACTTGATGCCTTCTGCCTCATGATATCACTGGTGTTGGTTTGCTTCACTCCTCTGATCTCTGGATCATGGCAAACACATGAGTGTGCTTGCCCATCAGCTACGCCTCCCTTGTGTTTCCTCACATGATTCAATTTGGAAATGGTTCCCTCAGTGGGGCTCTACCATTTGGTCCACTCATCACTCGCTATCTGTACCGTCTTGGAATTTACCTTCGTGACAAAGTTGCTGTTTGCAACGTTCATGAGGATCTTCGTCCCAATCATGTGCTTGTTCGTTTGGATGCCAATGTAGGGCGTCCTAAGCTTGTCTCTGTCTCAGGGGGAGACACTTGCTATCCTCTTTTCTCTCCTGGTCATCCAAGTGATCCAGCTGCTGAGCACTTGATCCCATCACTAACTCAAGCTGCAGTTACAGCTCTAGATAGTTGACACGCCAAAACACAACACCAATCTGCGACCAAGTGTAATCGCAGACCGGGAATGCAGTAACAGGCAAGTTATATTATCAACCCGGGGTCTAGATCTACTGCTTACTCAGTGATTATCTATTATCTAGCCAACTAAAGTAAGTGATTGTTGTTTAAAAGCAAAAGCAGAAAGAAAGAAGGAATTGATACGGTTTTCTCAAGCAGGTAAGAGTCACTCGGGAATGAGTCCCCCTAGCTCCTTAGTTAGGTTTCAATTGTATTTCCCTGGGTTGATTTACTGTTGATTAGACTGCGGAAGATCCGACAGTAGCTTGGAATCTCTTAAGCTGACCAAGCCCTCTCAGTCTATCTACCCGGCAGACGACTAGTCTTCACCGGGATAGAAAGCTGAAGCAGTAAGAACAAAACTCCACTACTGGAATTGGATTCTAGTACAAAGCAGTAAACTGGCTAACTCTCGTATAGCCAATCTCCTACTATCGAATGATGAGACTCTAGCAACCTAATCAGATTCTATCTATCTCAGATTGCAGCAGGAATCAGGAAAAGTTGATCAGACTTTAATTGACTCAATAACATGCATCATTCGATTAAAATCAACAGTAATATCATCCCAAGTCATTACAATCAATCCCTAACACATAGAACTAGGGTTCTTCATCCCCAAGTGAGAGAGGGGTTCTATTCCATAGAGAGAGAGAGAGGAAAACAAGATACAAAGCAGTCATACTCATACTTATGGGAAGAATCTGCTCTGGGATGATGATTTCCACTCCTATGACGATCTCCAAGCTTGATTTGATGAAACCCAGCTCCAAGATGGCTTCTAGGATGTGTTCTTTGTCCTTTCTCTCTCTAGGGCTCTGTTTTTGCTCAAAAAGTCCGATACTCTCTCTTGCAGCCCGAAATTGGGTTAAAACCAGGAAATCCCGACTCACACGGGCTGGGCCACACCGCCGTGTGGCATACCCAGTTGCCCGTGTGAGTCAAAACGCTGCGTTCCAATTAGTTCGATCTTCAGGCTTCTCACACGGCCAGGGTCGCACGGCCGTGTGAGATTTCCATCTGCCCGTGTTTGCTCTCGGCGAAACTCGCACGGCCAGACCACTCCTTCACACGGCCGTGTGGATATCAGGGCAAGCCGTGTTTGCTCTCGCACAATCTCACACGGCCAAAGTGGTCACTTGCACGGCCGTGTGAGTTGTGGGTGTGCCCGTGTGGCCTCCTTTGTGACTTGCCTCGCGCCCGATCTTCGTCCAATCGACCCCAAACTCGCTCCCAAGCCTCCATTCACGTACTAGGACCTGAAATATCACAAATAAGCACAACCTAGTGTGAAATCGGCCTAAAACACGAGAAATCACATCTCAAACGGTGTAAGAACAGGGGTAAAAACATGTGTAATTAACGGTCTATCAATAGTGAAGTCAAGCGTAGAAAGGTAGCTGGAAGTGGGAAGACCACTAGCCTTCTTGTGTGCAAGGAGCGTCTAGAGTTGCTGGAGGCTAATGAAGCAAGACCCGCTCCAGATGACTTCGATCCTATATGATCTGACTTCAGCTCTGATGATGTCATATCAGATTATGAGTCACCTCCTTCCTATCCTTTTTGAATAACGCTGCTGCTCAAGGGGAGCTACTTGATTCCAATTAAGAGATCTTGGTAGATTAAGTCTTTTTAGGGTTGTGTCAGTCGAATGGTAGAGTCAAGTATGTTCTCGTCTTGCCAGAATGTTGATTTGAAGTCAATTGTTGTACTCTTGAGCTTCATCAAATAAAATGAAATAAATAGCTTCCCTGGATTATGCTTCATGTTTGGAATAGACTGCACCAATTGTGCGTTAACTGTGTGCAGGAAAGAAAAGGATGTAGCAAAAAGGAGCCATTGACAAGCTTAGGGGGAGCATGTTGAGTGAAGGTTGGCAATGAAGGAAAGAATCAGAGAAGCAATCAATTCATATAAGGCAACTCTCAAGGAAGGAAAGAGAGAGCAGAATTACAGGCAATCAAATCATCATTCAACAACGGCTAGCTCGAGAAAAGGAGGATTATAAAAGATCAAACGACTGAAGCAAGCTCACGATTCTCGGGGGAAAAAATAAAACAGTGTGCAGTGTGTATTCAGTGTGTTTGGATTGAGAGCCTATGTAAGCTAATCAGGGAGAATACCGAGGGTCTGAGGGTGTATGATCAGGGAGATATTCATCTTAGATAGCTAGACTGAATAGCAGGGAGCGGATCAGTTCTAGCTTAGTCAGGATAAACAAGAACCAGGAAATCGTTCTAGTGGTTACGTAGGGATTCTCAAGAGGAGATACCCCTACCGTGGATTCGTCGATATTGGGATACTTATTCTCCCAATATCGGATACCACGTAAAAGTGTGTGTGTTGTTCATTTGCTGTTTGCTTTGATTGTTGGTTGCTCTGTTTCAATTCAATTCGTTCAGGTTCAGAGAAGCACTTGAAGTAGAGGTTTGATCTTGGTTAAAGAAGAGAAGTCATTAGCAGGCTTTGGGAGTTGTCCAGGGCCAAGCCCAGTTCTCTAAAAAACAAACGTTTGGGCTCCAAGCCCACAGTCATAACAGATAATCAAACTTTTGATCCAATTCATTTCTGGCAATTTCGTATTATAATTTCGTTGCGGGAAGCTGAGAATCAAACATCAAAATTTTGTCACTTCACTTGGCTGGCTATTGTGTCGATTAGGGTTTTGTAGGATCTGTTCTTCATCGTCTGAATTAACAAGAAGAAGGCGGTTGGTCTCGCGCTCGACCCACCTACAGTAGTAAGAAAAAACCCTCAAAGGAGGATAACTATCAAGATGGTTCGTCGAGGTGGCTACCAAGATGAGGAGTGTGGAGTCGTCAAGGATATCGAGGATGTGATCAAGACTTCATCATGGAGGCTAAGGCAAGGAGGCTCAACACCAACCCGGCCCGGCATCGAGACCATCAAGTACCCACCAGCCCCAAGGCCGGAGAAGGGCCCCCAAGACTAAGGTTACCAACTAGTCATCAAGGCGGGACAAGGGACCCCGAGGCGGTTTGGAGCAAGAGGCCAGCTAGTAGTTACTACGGAGGTTACCAAGGCAGTTACCCCCGGTGGCTATAAATAGGAGAAACAAAGATGTGAAAAGAGTTCCACAACCAAACATTTGACGCACAATGTCAAACTTTATCCTTTTCTCTGCAAATTAGCCATAGCCATAGCCTTGTTAGCTTTGTTCCCAAAAACCATCAAAAACATCAAACACCCTAGTTCGAACATTTTTCGGAAAAGAGTGGACCGTGTTGCTTTTCGATGTTCAAGAAGTCAAGGTACATTCATTGAGTTCAAACACCAGTTTTTCCTCGCCTAAAAACAAAATCCCTAAAAGTTAAATTTTTTAGCTCCTCTTGAGTCTTGACTCACACACGACTCGTTTTCTTATACTTTTTTTTTCATCTTACACTAATATGTGTTACTTATCGTTTCTTTGGGGACATTCAATAAAATATGCCTTACTTCTCTCACCCACCTAGACAGGATTAGAACATGCCCCCTTTACCCACCAAGTTTCCACACTTAGTCTTATAGACACTGTCATGAGACCACGGCATCCTCGCCGATCCATCCATGGTTTTTTGATACCTCAGCTAGCCGCCCTGCCTTAGTAAAATTTCTTGTCTTGTTGGCTTGATTCCCGATGTCTGGCTATCAAGTCTGTATTGTCGTCTTGGTATCCAGACTTAGTTTCTTTATGACTCTCTTAGTTGGTACCTGGCTTGGCCCCCCCGTTGCCTGGCCGTCAAGTCAGTCTTGCCGGCTTGATACCCCCTTGGGGTCATGGTAACAAGGCTGCCTTGCCGACCTGGTACCCCCTTAGCTCCATACTTAGCCGAATTCATGCTTTTCATGTCTTGGTACCAAGCCCTGCCTTGCCAACTTGGTACCCTCTTGCTATTAGTGGTATGGCATCATGTCGTATGGCCTCCTGGCCATGTGATTCCATACTTAGCCAATTTTATCTTTTGCTAGCAAGTCTGCCTTGTCGGCTTGATACCCCTTTTGGCTCTATACTTAGCAAATAATATCAAGCCCGTCTTGTCGGCTTGATACTCTCTTGGCTCTATACGTAGCCAATTTTTTTTTGTATATTTGGGTACCAGGATTTCCTTGTCGCCTTGGTACCCTCTTGGCTCCATACTTAGCCAATTTTCATGTTTTTTTGGTATTAAGCTTTCTTTGTCGGCTTGATACCCCTTTGGCTCCATACTTAGCCAAATTCCATGTCTTGGTACCAAGCCCTCCTTGTCGACATGGTACCCTCTTTGGCTCTATACTTAGCCAAATTCTATGCATTTTGGTATCAAGCCTGCCTTGTCGGCTTGATACCCCTTCGGCTCTATACTTAGCCAAATTCTATGTGTTTTCCTCTTGTTTTGC